GGCCATGACAGTATTATCGTAACCAATAAGACAAATTAAGGCATATCTCTAGTTCTGTTATATCAGAATGATATAACAGAACTCAAGCTACATTTGATAAAAATGTAGCTTTTAAAGCCAAGAATGTGAAAATGTGATGAGGTCATTTTGACCAAATTTGATTTAATCCTCATTTCGATTCGATGGGTCACATATCTGTAGAAGAGGCTGAGTTATCATTAGTTTCCTTTCACCTAATGTTAATAAGCTGAGGTGGTCATGTTGAAGTACTGATTATAAAATTTAATGAGCTGTAGATCCAATGATTATTTTCAGAGTTTCATTAAAACCTGTCCTGTGGTTGATGAGATATTTTGCTAAAAGAACACAGTTACATTGTTGTTGTTGTTACAACAGAGAAGGTAAATAAACAACATGAATCCTGGAGGTGATCAAACACTCAGGATGTCTCTGTTGGTGCAGTACTGCCACCTGCAGGTGACAAGAAGTGTGTGCAGCCACCAACAAACCAGATCGGTCCGGTCCACACTGGTCCCAKTGAAGAGACCGATCCTTCAGGCTGAACTAAAAGCTGCTTCCTCTAACATGAGAATGATGAGAAGTTAAGTTCTGGATATAATGATACAGTATTATTCCTGGGCATGAGTTCACAGTTATCAGTTCTGGGACATCTTGCGGATCATGTAGTTGAGGATTCCTCCATGGTGGAAATAAGTCAGCTCCACGTCGGTGTCAAACCTCATGAGTACTTTGAATGTTTTCCCCGTGTCCAGCTGTGACGGAACAAAGAGACCACATAAGGGGTGGGGTCACTGTCAGAGCTACAGTCCCCTCCTAAAGTATTGGAACGAGTTAAACTCTTGTTTCTGTTGTTCACTGAAGACATCTGGGTTTAAGATCAAAAGATGAGAAGAGTTCAGAATGTCAGCCTTTATTTCCTGGTATTTACATGTAGACGTGATAACCAACTTAGGATATATCCCTGTTTGTAATGCACCACAGTATTTTAGGAACAAATAACCTTAAAGTAAAGAACATTTAATATTTGCTGGGATAACTCTTGCTGCAATGACTGCCTGAAGCCTGCGACCCATCAACACCAAACTGTTGTATCCTTCATTTGTGTTGCTGCTCCAGGCTGTATRCTACATGCTGCTGCAGGATAAAATTCYTCCAGATWAATYTGGATACATTTCTCTGTAATTTAGCAGACAAAATGTTTCTGTCCACTTCAGAATTCATTCTGCTGCTGCCATCATCAGTTCCAACAACAATAAATAATGAGGCTGTTCCAGAAGCAGCCATGACATCACCTGCACCATGCTTCAMAGATGAGCCTGTGTGCTTCAGWTCATCAGCAGTTTTTTCTCCACTTTTTGGTTTTTCCATCACTTYAGTAGAGATTAATCTTGGRCTAYGTTCACACTGCAGGTCTTAATGCTCAATTCTGATTTTTTTTAAATCCGATCWTTTTGTGTGAAMGTTCACATTACACTTTAAACCGACCAGCATCAGACCCCTGTGTGAACGCTACACAGCACTGATGTGACACGCATGCGCAGTAAAAGACGTGACGTCTCATTTAACGGTCTTGTTTGTTTACAGAGYTAGCATGGATGCTACTTTTAGCACGTCAAATCGGAAGTTGTTGTTTAATCAGAGGTGATCTGACCTGCTTCTTTAGTTCAGTGTTTATATCTGAACCTGCCTCTGACTGGGATGCTCAAGTCTAGCATTTTATTTTTGAATGAAACATTGAGCTGGAAATGAAGTATCGACAAGTAATTTAGGATCGATGCGCTCCATGACCCAGGCTGGACGTTACTATCTACATGGAAAGTTAAAAATAAAAAGACAAAGCAACTGGACTTGTGTTTTGGAGCTGTAAACACACGGAGCTACAGACTTAAACAGAGAGACTTGAGGTTAGTGTCTTATCGATCCTTCAGCCCCTCCTCACTGATGAAAAAGTCAGATGTAATGTGACATGAGCGTTCACACTGCAGTCACTTTGAAAACATCAGATATATATCCGATTTAAAACCACATACTGAAACGGCCTGGGTCTGATTTGAAAAAATTGTATTTGTCTCGTTCAGACTGTCATTAAAAAAAAAACAGATATGGGTCGCATTTGCCTGCAGTGTGAATGTAGCCTTGGTCTCATCAGTCCATCAGATTGTCTTCCAGAACTTTTGCAGCTCATCTCTGTACATCTTTACAAATTTCAATCTGAGTGAGATGAGTGGTTTGCATCTTTGTGTATGGTCTCTATATTTCTGCTCTCTGAGTCTTCTTCCAACAGTGGATTGTGATACCTTCACCTCCGAGCTGTAGAGGTCATTGGTGATTTTACGTACTGATGGGTTTTTTTCTCACAGCTCTCACAATCTTTCTGTCATCAACTCCTGTTATTTCCTTGGCCGACCTGTTGGACGACTGTTGCTCAGTWCACCAGTAGTTTCTTTCTTAYTCAGAACATTCTACATTGTTGTGCTTGCTATGCCCAGTGTTTGTCCACTGGCTCTGATTGACTTTCTTTCTTTTCTCAGCTTTTCTCCCATAGACTGCTCTCTGGTCTTCATGCTGGTTTATCCTCTTTAACAAGAACGACTTAAATGATAGGTTTAAACCCAGACCAAAGAGTAGACTAGTCATGCAGAGATATTTAATGGTTGAACAATCAACCATAAAGGCAACATCTGGTCAATAAGAAACACCTGTCAGTCATATGTTCCAATAGTTTTGCTCACTTGAAAAATGGGTAGGTTCAAACAAAGAGTGGTATGTTCTGAGTTGTTTAACACGTCTACATGTAAATACCAGGAAATAAAAGCTGATATTCTGAACTCGTTTCATCTTTTGATCTCAAACCCAGATGTCTTCAGTGAACAACAAAAACAAAGAAATTGTCTTGCTGTTCCAATCCTTTTTACAWTGTGTCCCCTAAAGTGATAGGTCAGTAGTGGTTGTCAGTATCTTACCTGTAGCTCTCTGAACCAACAATAAACTTGATTAACTGTTCAAAGAGCATTTTACAGCAGATCAGCTGTTTTACACAGAAGCCCACTTTGACCGTCTCTTTAACTGACCTTGACGTGTACAGCCATGCGGGGTGTGAGGTGCTCAGGGATGACGATGGTGTAGCGCTCTCGGCCGGTCAGACCCAGACTGTCAGCTGTGTCTCCTGGCAGATACTCCAGGGGGATGACCCCCATCCCCACCAGGTTACTGCGGTGGATTCTCTCATAGCTCTCTGCTAAAACCGCTTTGATCCCCTAAAGACACAAAACAAAACTGTTGGAGCAGCGAGACAAACGAGGACAACTCCTGAAGAAATGCTTTAATGATTTCGTCTTCATGATAACATCCTGTTTGTGGGGGTCCATTCCTCCAATCAGAACACATTCATGTCCAAATTAGAAAAGACAGTCTGAAAGCTCCGCTCTGAAGGATTCTGATAAACACACAGAAATGTAGCAAAATGCCAGTAGAAAATTAAAACTAACGAAATGAGAGCTAAATGCTACAAGTAGCAAACCGCTAACTGAAAGTAGTACGCTAGCCAAATGCTAAAAGTGGCAAAACAATAGCAATGAAAAGTAGCTAAATGCGAGCTAAAACTAAAAATAAAACAAGGTAGAAAATATTAGTGAACGACTAAAAGTAGATGTGACGTTCACCAACAATCCTTACAATGAATGATAAGAACTGAAGTGCACACAGTAAAGAGCTTTTCTATTTTTTCTTTTTTTAAAAAACTCTTCATAAAATCTTTATTTTTTCCTCCTTAGCCACAGAAACAGTTGGTCCTCCTTTGCTTTTTCACAGAAAACAGGCAGATGGGTGGAGTACAGCAGCTCAGAGGGGAGGAGGATGTCTGAAGGTTCCTTGTCTTTTTGCTGTAATCAAGCTAATTACATAACTTCACAGGAAGAACACAAATAAAAGCCCCATGATAATAAAGAATAAAATACAATAAATACTTTAAGGGTGTATTTACACAAGGAAAGCCCTTTGTTCCACTTGTTTGGTCCAGGTTAAAAGCAACTTTTTTTTTCCTTTGGTGCGTTTTGCATTCACACTATGCTCTTTTGCCAGCAGACTACAATTTATAAACAAAGCCATGTGGGTGACAATCATTGCTCCCATCAGACAGAAATAACGTTGGCGGGACAGAGAACAGACATGAAAATAAAGATGGTGCTGTAATTAAAACTGCAATACCATCTAAACTTCAAGAGCAGCTCAAGTAACGCGATGATATCCTTTTAATTTTGGGACAGCCTTGTCAAATGTGTGCTGCCACAACGGCTCATCGTTTGTAGCGCAGTGTTAGCATTAGCAACACTGAAGAGCCAATGTTGCTTATCTACGGTGGCTCGTGAAGTCTAAATAGGCGCATGTGTCCTGTAGTTGGTTCGAGGTCGGTCTGTATTCACACCAGAAGCGACCCGCACCAGAGATCGTTTGGAAGCGGACCGAGACCACTTTAAAACTGGGTCTCAGTCCGGTTGTTTGGTCCACACCAGGGTTCACATGAGTCTATTCACACCTGCATAAATGGTCTGGACCAACGGGGGAAACAAACTCTGGTCTGTTTTTGAGCAGGAAGTCAGACTGATGTATTTGGGGTCATTTACACAGCGACCAGCTGCACTGCAGAACCTTTTTTACGATGATCTTTGTATTTCTGATTGTTTGGATGCTTTGTGTTTCAGATCAGATTTTCTGTTGTCTTGTTTAGATTTTTGTTGATGAGGATTTAGTTTTCCCCGATCAGTCCTTGTTTTATATTTAGTCTCTTTCTGAACTAATCACAATTTTTTATCTGTTTATGCTTCTTTTCTGTCAGCTGTTAGAGAGGTCAAAGGATCTCCTGTGACTGACGCAGTGAGGTCACTGTACCTGTCCAAAACATCTGGATCACACAGTATGAATACCTGTTCTACAGCTGTAGAAGTGAGATCAGAAAAAACATGTGAAACACACTAAAATAACTGAAATGGATTCTTCTTGTGCATTTCAGACACCAACAGCATCTTTATCAGAAACAGCTGTTAAAGCTGCAGCTCACCAGGAGAAAGGGGCCTTTAGCTGCCCAGTCCCTGGAGCTCCCCGAGCCATACTCCTTCCCTGCCAGAACCAGCAGTGGGACACCAGACTGCCGGTACCGCTCTGCAGCATCAAACACGTCCAGCTGGGAGGAGGAGGACAACAAATAATTAAATAGTTAAAAAACAAAAAAAAATAAATTAAAATTAGGGATTTTTTTCTTCTCTGATGTGGAACAGGGAGGATGACAAGCTGAGATCTAAGATAACTGACGTTATTGTCAGTGTTAAACCATAAACCCCTCCCAGTCTGACCGTCTCTCCTGTGGGCAGGTAAACTGTCTGAGGCGCCTGCTTGTTCAGGAACTTGTTGAAGAGGCGGATGTTGGCGAACGTCCCTCGGGCCATCACAGCATCGTTCCCTCGACGGGAGCCGTACGAGTTGAATTCTCGAGGGGTCAACCTGCCAGAACCAAACAGGTGAAGGAGAAACATGGCATCACTCTCTCTAACTCTGACCAGCACATGTTCCCACAGGGCTGGGTGGTGTGACCTCAAATTCGGATCACGGTATAAATTGAACCCCTTCACGGTAACAGTATATATTGTGGTAGAAAACTATCATAAAAAGTAAAGATAATGTAATTTTTAGAGCATTTTTTTTGCAGAAAACTAATCTTAATTAAACCCAACATTTTTGCTTTAATATCAACCTGCCCTACAATGAGCTTCCRCCTGCTGAACTTAACAGCTGCTGCTCTCTCATCTTCATCATCTTCATCATCAGAGCAGAAGCTGACTGTTACATTAGCAAGATGGATTTATGACTGAATGAACGTCCATGTCTTATTTTTATCATCTCTGTGGGTAACAATACATAAAAACAAGTTTTTTCTCTGACAACTTGGGTGTGAAAAAACTGTTGTTATTAAAGCTTCACTCTGTGCGACATGGAGGGAGGAAATGATCCCGACGTAACTTTTCTACAGCGCAGGGGGGAATTCTAAGGATTTATTCTCTTTACGCGTTTTGAAACACTATAATTTCTTAGTTTTAATTCAAACTCCTTCTGCCTCTGCACCCACAGCCCTGTTGACACAGGCGTGATGACGTAATGATGATAGGACGGTAGAGGGTAAATTTCTACCGTAGGCCAACTTCATACCGTTTCTACCGTCTACCGCATATACCACACAGCTCTATGTTCCCATCAAGTCTTGGTTTGAAAAACTTTGAACAATGAAGCTTTTTTATAATATTTTACTGAAAGCTTCGCTGGTTTAAAAATGCACAACGTCACCATCACTACTCAGGTGTACAGATGTAGGGGTCCTACAKTTTAAGACAAATTAAATTTGAGACTTTTTAAGACTTTTTAAGGCCAAATGAAATTAAATTTAAGACCAATTTCACAATAATTAAAAAGGACAAAAAATAAGTAAAAACTGGCAGAAACTCATGAATGTATTTTTTGGTTGAAGTTTTCAAATATATGTTTTTAACCATATCTAACTGTTTTTGTTGTCAAATATAGCAAAAACATTCTTTGCAGTCAGATTTAAACTTAATTTAATGCCTGGAAATTAAAGTGTCGGTAACATCAATTTTTTTGTAAGATATGTGAATACATTTTTGGAAAGTCAACATTATTAACATATTATGAAACAAATTTCACGATGCTCAGACGGACGGTTGTTGAGATATTTGCATGTGAAGCAACAGGAAGTGATGTCAAAGAGGAATGTCTGCATGTGAATTTTTAAAAAAATAAATGTTATCAATTATTTTAAAAATTGAGATGAATTACAATCGTCCTATTTACAATGTGTTATCATTTTTAAGACTTCTGACTGATGGATTTAAGACATTTTAAGGCTAATTAAGGCCTTAGTTTTGGATCGATGAATTCAATGCCTTTAAGACTTTTCAAGGATCCTCAGGAACCCTGAGATAGACGCGCTGAGTCTTACCCTCTGTCGGTGAGGTAGCGTGCTGCAGGGCTGTTCCTGGCGATGTTCCCTGCAGGAGAGATGTGGTCTGTTGTGACAGAGTCTCCAAAGTTCAGCAGCACATAGGCATCTTTTATAGACTCTGGGGGCTGCAGCTTCATGGTCTGAATGAAGGCAAAGAGACAGAAACACATCAAACAGCCCACAGAGAATCAAACATGTCAATCAGTTTTTTTTCTCTTCAAACAAAGGAAAGAAACTGTGAGTAGCAGAATGGACACGTCTGTCATTTAGGTAAGTGAAAGTAAAAAAGTAAATAAAAAATCACTTGAAGCTGTTTTTAAATTGACTTTAACTATAATCTTGTTATAACGACACCCCAGTTTCATCTCAGAGAAATAATGACTGTACTGACTGTTCAATAACAACCATATTTACCAAACCGTCGAAGAATGGGGGTGACTTGATGTACGTTGATTGGGGGTCCCAGGTGTAGAGCTTGTCAGAAGGAGCCACGAGAGCGTTCCAGCGCTCGTTCACTTTCTGCAAGCAGAAACCACAGACAGACCCTCAGATTCTGTTTGATCRAACTAATAAAAGCGTCTGAACTCAAACTGTACCTCAATCTTTTCATACACCTCTTTAAACATGGACGGAATGACAAAAGTTCTCTCCACTGCCTGGATCTCCTCCCGCGTGGGCCAGATATCCCTCAGGAAGATCTCTTTACCTTCTGAGTTGATGGCTGCAGAAAAAAAAAACATTTCAATAACTTCTGAGTGTTTCAGCGTTTTATAACTGAAACTTAAAATATCAACTTTGATAATGTCACACAAATCAACTATGAAACTAGTTAGTCGCATGYTGAGAGGAAGTCACGTTATGAGTCAGTAGCTGTGTTTCCATTTCAAATGTGTGAAAAACTTTGTTGATATTCTGTTAATGTCGAAAAACACAGTTTCGCAATTGCGGTGTTTCCATTAAGTAAAAAGTGCTGTTAAAGTCACACATGAATAAGTTTGTTCTCGCGATAAGTCATTACAAACATGGCGGCAATGGATGTAAACACAGCGTATTGCTACCACAACACTAGCGCTCATCATCAGCCATCAGAGGAGATGTCGGCGTCTTATCGAGGCTTTCGAGTGACAAGCTCCTTATACATGGGAGTGGCTACGTATGTTGCGTTTTTGGGAAAATGTAGTTGGTGAGTTTACTACTTTCTTTTACTACTTCTGTGATATTACTACTATTTCTACTTCCTGTTATCTTCTTCTTCTTCGTCATCTTTTCGCCAGAAGAAACAGTTGGTTGTTGATCACGTTACTCCCGTGATACGAAAAGTGTTTCCATTGCAGTTTTGCCAAATACATCAATTTCGATACGGCCGAAAAACCACCTCATTCTAGCGCAAAAACATTTTGTCGAAAAACATATTTTTTTTTCTAAATTGACGTGTTTCCATTGAGCAAATTTATTTTCGAAATTCCAATTTGCGCATTTTCATTGTCAATGGAAACACAGCTACTGTGGAGTTCAGAGGATGAAAGTAAAAGCAGGTTTTTGAAGGTCAGCTCTGTTTAATCCCACCATGACAGCCTGAGATTTGTATAATCCCACATTTTAAATCCACTCACTCCAATAGATCAGTATCTGCTGTAAGAATAAAGTAGCTCTCCCTTCATCTTGTGACAAAACCTAAAGTTTAGAWTTTTTTTGTTTATCATTTTGTTTAACAAATAATAATCTGGTGTGTATTTTCATACACTTGAGATTAAATTTCAATATAACCTTTTTGCTGAGAGACTTCATCTCTACCAACTGAGCCACAAGATTTTCCACCCAATCTGCTGTGAACTCAGTTCATTTKTTGGGATGCATGAAGGAGAACAGAAACATGTGTACGGTTAACGGTTTGATAAATCTGAATATTCCTGTTTCAATTTGGTCTCTAGGCCAACTTTCTATAAAGTCGGTACATAACTGTTAATTTAACTGTCAATACATTTTGATAAAGTAACTCTCAAATCTGAGGCTGTGTACTACACTTTTACTCACCTATAGGCTCCTTTTCAAAGTCTATCCTCACAGTGCCAGCAATGGCATAAGCAATGACGAGAGGTGGAGAAGCCAGGTAGTTGGCTCTGGTGTTGGGGTGGACTCGACCCTCAAAGTTTCTGTTCCCTGACAGGATGCCCGCCGCAACCAGATCCCCCTGAAGCACAACACAATACCATATCGTACATAACATTATGTGTGAAAAGAATACACAAACCACATCAATCACCACTCTAGCCGTGTTTCCATATTTTAATGCACATTTTGAGCGAACTTGTAAAATGTTGTTAAAAAAAGAAATGCACATCAGACTGTTTCCATTTACTGGCTTTGAGTGAATCAACCAGGCTATGCAAAGTTTAATTACTTCAAACGTTGATGTTACGCATGACTGTAATAAACAGTAAGTAAAGTATCAAACTCACAGGGACACATCTCAGAACAATGGAGAGAAGTTTTCAGGAACGTGTTGCTACTATCAGGAAAGTTGTAACTATTCTGTCATACCAACTAGTATTGGTGACGCTACTGCTGTCTGGAGACGTAGAGAAAGAAATGTAATTCTCTTCATGTTATGGGAATATCAGCACTTAWCTCTTTTTCGAAAGATCTAAAAACCACCTTAAGCGAGCGTAAAAATGTTTTTGTGAAATTGACAAAGTTTTTGCAAATTTTGCCATTTCCATTCACCTTTCACTTTCTAATGAGATACTTCAAAAAGTACATAAAAAACGTTGATGGAAATACGGCTAATGTCAGAGGTTATAAGGTCACAACACACCTCCAATGGTCCAATCTTATTTTAATGAAAACACTGAACATCACCGTTAAAACAATAAAAACTAGTTTTAACTGGACATTAGGCAGCGCTCACAGCAGAGTACAAAGGGGACAGTGGCATATTTTCAGAGCTTAGATGATGCAGATAAGATCAGTGAATAAGATCATCTTCTCATGTTAGTGTCCACCAATCACCAATCTCCCAAAATTAAGGAAATTTGGGCCAATAAATCGGCAGTCGCAACGCTACTTATATAGCACATTTTTAACTTTATCCAGGTCTTGGAAAGTGCTTTATAATGATTTCATTCACCTGTTTACACAAACACAGTACTTTATTTCGTGTTCTTGTCATATAATTCAAACATATCTCATACTCAAACATAGACGTGTAACCTGCTGCCTTTCATGTCAGAGTTTTAAATTAAGATTATCTTGAGTTGAGAAATGATGGAACTGTAGCTGTTTTGATCAAACCTTGGAAATAACATAATGAACAATCTAATACAGTACTGTGAGATGTCACACTCAGAATATGTGTTGACTGGAAATGACTCTCAGCTACTACCACACCAAATATAAGCCCAATTACTTTAAGATTGACTCAATACAGCCATTATTGTTGTTTCTTAGGTTGGTTGGCTGTGGCAGCCATCTTGAATTGGACTGACTCCAACACTTAATCGGTTGCAGCTGTACATTCATTCAATATTTTCTGAAAATTTCATTCAAAAATCCATCCAGTGAAACAAACGCACACATAAAGAACATAATGAGCCATCTTTTTTTTGACAGTGGGTGATAATGTTACTGCAGTGATAAACCATAGTTACCTGTGTTATGGCCTCCACCACTGGCTCTGGCAGCGGACCACTGTTGCCTATACATGTCATGCAACCGTAGCCAACCACTTCAAAGCTAGCAGAACAAACAAACAGCTGTTAATATGGCTACACAAAGTGCTGAGTCACTGTAGCAACTAAAACAGACACTTTAATCTTCTCACCCTTCTTATTAATACAGCTGAGCAGAATAATGCTTGGTCAGTTAAAAAACATAAACCTCATGATAAATGAATATCTGACTGTAACTATTAGCTAACAATGCTAATCATCATCAGCATGTTTCAACTATCAGCTACATTAGCATTTAAGGCCCTGCCACAATAGACAACTTAAGCCAACTTATGAATATTTTAAAGACGTCTATGTTGAAGATGGAACTGAAAAAATCATCAGGAAGCTTCTTTTCAGGGTGCACATTACGTAATTCAAACAAATTGATCAAATATATAAGTTTTATTGGTAATTTAGACATAAAAAACGTTTCATAAATTGGCATAAGTTGTCTAGTGTGACAGGACCTTTAGTCGTTTTGTGTGTAGCAGTAACTCCTTACATAAACACATTGTGTAAGGTTGTTTCTGCTCTTAATGTTATTTAATGATTGCTCATGAGAGAACAACCTGTTGGATTACACTGTTAAGTGTTTTTGTTGGATGTAGCAGCTTCTCTTAAGAATAAAACTTTTGTCTGAAACAAACCTGTTGCTGAGCAAAAACTGTAAGTTGTGTTGAAGGATTTTTATAATACGTGGCATTCTGGTCATCACACGCCAATTTTTATGTTTCTATGGCTGTTTATGTTGAGTTACAAAGACCCTTTGCTAGGGCTGTGATGTGCGATAACAGAGCTTGTAAGACCTCATTTTRTAATAACAACGCATTATGTAATAATGTAATAAAATCAGGCTTCAAAATGTAATAAACTTGCRCTAAAACCGCATTATGTAATAACGTTATTACATTTTGCGGCAATTGTTACAAAATGTGGTGTAATAATCTGGTGCATTATGTAATAAACAATCAAAAACCAGTATTTCTGTTCATCCTAATCAATTTACTTGTAATAACTGTCATGGTGAAAATACTACATAATTAAATCTTTATAACTTTGGTCAATAAACACTGAATTTCTCGTCCTTTATTTGCATTTTCAGTCAAATTCTTGTGTTATAAACGTCGTTCAAGGCAGAACGATCAAGACATGTAAAACTTTTTTTCCAACACATTGGCTTTCAGGAAACTTAAAATCTATGCTTTAAAAAGCAAAAAAGATAATGTTTCTGTTGGTATTAAATGAAAGAAGCATATGATTATAATCCAACATTTTAATGCAAACTGAACAGAATCGCAACAATTTCCTGGATTTAAATAATGTGTAATATTAGTCGACTTCTTGCACATTAAACTATATAAACAAATTTGTCTTACTCAGAGCAGTGCAAAAGTTTCCACTAGTTCGAGGACAAAAACATGAACCTGGAACCCCAAGGATGCAACACAGGGTCAATATGAAAACTGAACAGCAGGGGGAGCATCTGTGAAGACTGGTTTTAGAGCGCAGGCAGCTAYGTCTCTTTATTTAGATGTCCTGTCAAAAATGTAAGATGCAGCCTCCCCTACAATTCATGTTTCAATACAACCATGTCAAGTTGTAAGGAATGTCTGTAATTTACACAGATTTTATGTCATTTTGCAGGTATATGGATGTATAGAGCAATCTCACAGATTTCTTTCATGTTTTATGGAATCTTTCAAAAACTTAGTTTCTAATTTATTCAACATGTCAGAGCCTGTAGGACGTTACAAACAATTATTAACATCAAATATCCACWTCCAACCCACTCTACTGCTAGAAACAAGTTCTTCAACCCTCACTCCCTTCTGATATACAGTCAACAGTCCGCCTGCACCCCCCTCCCCTCCCCTCTGTGGCTGATGGTCCACCTGCACCCCCCAACCCCCCTTGCGAGTGATTGATATAAATTATTTTTATGAAAATTGCAGATTTTTAAGGCTCATTATACAGGTAAACGTCTGTTTGTACAACTAACTTTTAGATATATTTTGGGAGTTGTCTACAAAGTGGAATAATTTCTGTAACAGGGATCAGGACAGTAAATCTGAAAATGCAAATAAAAGATGAGAAGTTCTGTGTTAACTGACCAAAGTTATAAAGATTTAAATATGTTTTTGCAACATGACAGTTATTACAAGTATATTGATTAGGATGAAC